TTGTTGATGCACCCATGTCTTATCTGGACGGTTTACCTCACATTGCTCAGCAGAAACATGGCCTCCGCCAGAATCCGTCGTGTGCCACTAATCTATGGTGTGCACGACATGACTAGACCGGAACCCCGGATACTAGTGAAAGAGTTGATGTGAGTTCCCTTGACTTCCCTAAGGTATTCGACCGTTTGAACCATCGTACCTGTCTGACTAAACATCAAGGATGTGGCACTGGGAACCATCTCACCGGGTGGATCTACAATTTACTCTTGCAGAGGCATCTGGAGGTGAGAGTACGTGAATCCATGCCAGACCCAATTCACGTCGAATGAGGTGTGCCACGGGGCTCGGTATTGGGGTCCCGACTATTTTTGGTCTTCATTAACGATTTAGTAAGCCAAATCACGTCAAACTGTTTACTCTACGCTGATGACATCAAAGCTTGGCAAAAGATCCGGGCTCTAGAAGACCGTATCCAGCCTAAAATCTAGCTTGACTGGATCAACGGATGGCCGGTTAGAGAGCGCTTTTGCTTTCATGTAGCCAAGTGTCGAGTGCTCCTTTACAACACCGAATGACTTTCACGTATAACCTGGAGGACCTGGATCTACAACACTGTTCTTATAAAAGGATCTTGGTATGGTCGTCCAGAAGGATCTCGGCTGCTTGGAGCAGTCCGAAAAAGCATCCAATAAGTGGATCCAATTTGTCGCGCTTTTACGGAAGGCTTTCGGACGCTTCGAGCCATCTGTTATCCACCAACTACTTCCCGCTTACATACGCCCTCCAAATGCATATGCGATTCAAGCATGGCATACATGGCTGAATCGGGATCCCACTAGTTTGGAGATTCGGAAAACTCGGGAACCAAAAATTTCAAGCGGCTACGTCATTTATCATACTAACAGCGTCTCCGAATACTGGGCATCTTAAGCGGTCGCCATCGGCGTTTGCGTGGTGACCTAATCATGTTTTACAAAATTCGAACAACGCCAATCGCTCGCGCTCTCACTTGTTGTAGCTGAGTCACAACGCCAGAATGAGAGGTCAACACCTCGAACAGACAGAACAATACAGTCGGTTGGAGTGCTGAACAAACGTCTTCTCGCTGCGTGTTCGCCACACCTGGAATACCGCCTCACAAACTGGTACCTCAGCCCCCACGTTATCCGTGTCCAAAGCCCATGTCGACGGTGCACTGGCCGTGCTACGCCATACCACGTAGCACACACAATCCAGACAAACAGCGGAAAAACAACTGTACATCAACCCACCTCCATATTTGCCTGGTAATCACAGACGATGGTCTTGGGCAATACATAAAATCAAGCGTGGACTGCTCAGAGGGGGAACACTGTAACCTGCAACTTGGCAGTTTGTGGTTATTCATTATTTCACGCTGCTATTTTTTGCCTTCATTTTGTTCACCCCTAGCCGTTCATCCGGCGGGACTACTCAAGCTTCGGCTTTTTTTCCCGCAATATACCATGGCCTATTGACAGTAACAATCTCTTGTGGCACAAGTCAAAAAAATAAAGTTTGGCTCTCCTTCATCAGGTACTAATTACTTCAGGGAATATTATTGACTTGTTGTCAAATATCTTCATTTCCCCCAGCTGTTCCACCTCTGAAGCAGATGAATCTTAATATCAGTTCACTACAACTGTCACCGACCACTTTGGTCTGCCTTTTGCTGATAATTGCAATAGAGTTGAGCGCACTTTTCCCACAGCTCTTTGGTTGCAAAATGTTATAACCCCCCCCCCCCGAGAATTGAAACAACCAAAAGAATGTATTGGTTAACAATTCGAAGCTGTTTTGTGTGGAATCCGGCACCGATTGGTAGTTCTGCTCACTTAGAGTTCAAGCTTTGGACTGTCACCTGTAGTTAGACACATCATCTGGAGGTAACATTGCTAGAGTACAGGCTTAAAAGAAGACGATGTTCACCACAGAACCTGTATCGACAACAACAATTGATAGCAGCCATGGACTGTAATCTAATGTTTGACACCGCTATATTTGCATACTTTAACCAGTTAACGAGGTACCTCAACTTCTGTTTTGATACCTGCTGTCCTATGAAAACCATTTTCATTCGTGCGTATTGGTCGTCATCTCCATAACTTAAACGCTTGCTTAGACTCAAGGCTTTCAAAAGTACAGACCACCTTGCACTGAAGTCACTATTTATATCAAGTTAGATTTCTAGCCGTCTAAACCACAATACTTCCAGACCAGACTAGGAAATAATTGTGTCGAGATATCTAGTGGATGGTGAAACAACTTTGTGGAGTCTCCCACCGAATATCAAATCCAGAAGTGGATGCTGCAGACTTGAACCACAACTTTTGTTGTTTCAATGCAACTACACCTCTTAGTATTATTCTCCCTGACTGCAAACCCCTAACCTCTTAATCTGTTATTGAGAGAAATACAGCACACAATAAACTGGCTGCAGCTGAATTCCAACAAAGCAAGTGACCCGGAAGAACTCTCTCCCGTTGCCACAAATTGTGTGCCGATTCCTTGACCCAACCTCTTGCAGACCAGTACACGCGGCGTAAAACTACTGACCGTTGAAAAAGTGCTAAAATAACATCAGTGTTAACATTCTTCAAATTAATAGCGACCAATTGCCAGAAGTTCACTAAAATGTTATGGGCCTCCAGAAGGTTATCCCTGAAGTGATGCTGATTCAAACTCATTCAGATGATCCGCCCCAGTTTGCTTATCGTAGTTTGTACTCTACTCAAGACGAATGAGCCTATTTTGCACATTCAGTGCTGGCATCAGTAGACAAGTAAAATCCGTGTGAAAATGTTTTCGCGACTATAGTAGTGCTTTCAGCAGTGCAATCCGAGAGCGACTTTTGAGAAACCTACATGATGTCTGAATTCAAGCATCTACTGTCCACCTGCTGAGGGACTATTTCACTGAACGTGCCAACTCTATTCGATTTAGTAATAGAAGTCCCTCGCTGCTCATCACAGCCACCGGTGTTTTTCACGAAGCCATATTGTTCCCATACGCCCTTTCCACTTGCGTCACCTGATTATTTGCCTCTGATGAGGTGATACTGCTGAACTATGCAGGCAACGTGGTCCTGGGTATCCAACATCCGACTGCAGCCTTATCAGCCAAAGTACAGATCTGTCTAGAAAACGTATTGTTGTTCAAATCTCATTTTCATCGCAGATTACACCAAAATGCAATGACGTCATTTTCCCCCTATACAAAGGGCGTCGTTATCAACAAATTCTCATGGAACGCCCTGAACTACGCATATAAGGTGAAAGGCTGCACTCTACTTTGCCAGTGTAGTTTCTAGGTTTCACACTCAGTCTTCGTCGTTCTTGGTTACTAGTTCGTTTCACAAACGTGAGGAGAGTTTTCTACCACGCTGCTCGTTTGTGGTCCTCGTTTGTCCCTCGTTATGTTGTATTGCCATGTATTGCCGTCTATGTTATACCCCACTGGGCCTATTGCTCCACTGTGACGTTTCCCAGTTTTCTAGGAAGATATTCAAAATCCTAGATTTGCAATTGACGTAACTGTCTCAGGTTACTCGCATTACACAACTGACCTTTTTGATATTCATTGCCTACTCATACCAGTTCATGCAAAAGGCTTGCTTCAAAATACCCACCCATGCAAGTCAACCTGTACATAGTGCACTGTCTGACTGTATAACAAATTTCTAAACCAGACAGAAGTATAGATCCATTTATTATCGTTCATGTGCTTAGCAGTAATCCGTAGTTCATGCGTGTTTTATGCAAACTGTGCGCACTTGGACTTGATCTCACAAATAAGTTTGCATTTTAGCCATATTGCTGTCTATGCCACTCATTAACCTATGCGATTATCTTTACAGTGCTGAAGGTGTATGTATAACAGCTTAATATTGACTCTTTTGGATGTATAAAGCTTTTGCTTGAATTGAATAATTGATTAAATTGAGTCGACTCGACCCGAATCTTCTGGCCTAAAAGATGACGCTGTTATGACATATCATTCGCTTATATGCTTATGAGTTCCATATGTTGACTTCCGCATCGTCCAGCTGATGTCTAACTGCCCTGATTGTATACCATGTGTGAATTGACCCATCCGCTAAGTTACGCAGTATATAGCGGATGCGATTTGGCCTTGACCAGTGCAATAGCGTTTGTCTTGTATGGAGTACATCAGGTCTCTTAAGCTGTGTCAGCTGTGACCCCGACTAATCACGGGAATATTTTTCAGTTCGTGGGTGGACAATGTAACATACATGTTTCATGTTTTCTGTCAGAATATGACGCCATGTATGTCATCTATAAACTCCAACAATTGCCTGAATCCCTACATCCATACATCTATGTGGATGTAACCTTCGCTAGGGTGAAAGATACAACTAGTTGTAGTGTTATTATAGCCGCGTCATGGTCAGCAGATGGTCCACGAGACCAAAATCCACTGTATGGGATTTGCAAGGAAGGGCATACATGCCACCGTTTAGCTCATAGCTGATTCTGCAGTTATGTACCTAATCCAGCATTCCCTGATCGATCGTCCTCAGTACGCATAACAACGGCCAGAAAGTACCAATGGCTAAATTAGGGCCACAAACAAAATTCAAGATATTGAATCCCTCTACCACGTGGACTAACAAACAGGGCATCATACTCAGCTATGCTTACACACAAGTATAGGTAATGAAGACTTTGCACTGTCCAACTCTGTCGCAACGGTCCACCACTTTTGTATGTGCAAAAGAATAGATCCATTCAATAATGCGTTCGCTTAGCACTTCCCTCCGGACTGATAACCAAATAAGTTTGGTCTGTGCTCTCTGAATTTCCGCTAACGGCGTTACAGATGATCGTTTTTGTGTAAATTAACTGGGGCACGTTGAAGTGGAAGGTGGCGTGATAGTCACTGAAAGTGACTGAGGAATGCTACCTAAAAACCGATCAGCATGTTACAACCGCACACCTATTCACAAGCAACAATTCCACGACATGGGGCGTGATTGGTCGGACGCATCTACGCTGTCACCTCAACTTACCGCTTTGCGCAAGATGACACGGGTTTTACCGCGCCTGACTGAAGTACGTGGTCGCACGAATAGTCGGGATCCTAGTTTCATCCAACAGGACCATCAAATGCTTTTTGTGACATCGTCGTTATGTCAGTCTCATAAAGAGATTTCGGCCACTTTCGTCGTGCAAGATTTATTCATCCAGTTAGTCAATCAGAAACACAGAGGATGTCTTCCATTCTCATGAGCACGATGATTGTGAAACAATGGCTCGCTACCAGAAGCACTGGCGCTATTTTAGTGATACCCTTCTCTTTTATGATTTTGTAGCTGCTTTAATGTCAAGGCACTCAAGAGCAGTAAGTTCCACTGGGTGCGACCCAAGGATGATGAAGATTGTTCTTCAAACTCTGCAGACTGCACTTTGGCTATTGGCAAACTAGCAGTCACTTCGGAATAGGCTGCCAACCGAGCTCCGTTTCAAAGCGACGGTTATCCGACTTAAAGAGCCACCTCAGCAGAAAAATAAACGGGGACCCCATTCGAACTTCACACTGGTTGCAAGCCCGAAAATAGTAAGCATCTTCCTGTGCAATCCTGTAGCCACACTTCTCGCACTGAGTAATTTGAGTTACCAGGGGGGGCTAACTGCGACGCCACCGAATCCAACTCGGAGCGACACACCGACAATACCGTCAACAAAAGCCTATTGGCCAACCACACGAGGATCGGCAGAAGCTTTTATACGAGTCACATGTATTTCAGTTAGCTGTTGAAAACCGAAAACTTTCCTGCATGTACACTAACGCCCAAGTCCTCTTCAGAAAATTGTTGAGCTTCGGCTGAGTCAGGCGACAAACTTTTGAGCTCTTATTTCGATAACCGTGACCTGCTTGCACTCATAAGTTGCTGATGACGGAATAAATGATCGTCCCTTCAGGAGAGGTTGCGCAACGACCTACAACGCTAACCATTGGATGATACAGAGACGCGGATGATCGATTCGCTATGGTTCCGTCTGCGTCTTACATACGATGACAAGTACTGCGTGGAATTCGTTTACTGCCCCACACTGTCCACTCCAAAGATGGACCCCAGCCTAAGAACGGCATTGATAGAAACCTTACTGCCTACGCACAACTAAGTTCTTATCTCAGGCGATTTCGTTGTATACGAAATTAATGTCTTGCCAACCCGCAGAGAAACATTCAAGGCGGAGCCGCATGATATTATTGCAAGTATTCCACTGTACAATCATCTCACCTCACATACCAGTTACAAAGCTAATAGCCAACCATGGTACTAGAACTCTTACTTTCAAACGAGGAGCTCATGATCGACAGGCACTTAATTGACAACTCACTAGGGCTAGGTGATCATGCCACCATAGCTTAATATTATGTGTGTTACAACTGCATATTCGGAGGACCACCGTGAACGAACACTTATTATCACACGCTACAACAGTTTGGCTGACCTGGTTGTGATGGCCGATTGGGACTTAGCAAAGCGCCTAGGTTCAGTTTGTATGGCGTTTCAACAATCTGCCCGTAACTGTTTCAAAAGTTATGCGGGTTTGTTCTGCAAATCCATGGTCGTTCAGCAGAAGTAGAACCTCGAAAACGCATGTCACTAAGAAATGCAACTTGGAACATTTACGGAACCCGTTCTGGCCCCGAAACCTGGAGCGCATACGTGACCTAGCGCAATCAATCGTAATATGCTTGTCCGTGAGGATAAACTAACTCACCAACAACATTTGGCTTGTAAATTTGCGAAATAGGAGCTCCTATTTAAACCATACTAACATTCAAAGAGTGAAGCACGGTATTCCCCCATTTAACACGACAGTCGGAGTGTCAGTCTGCACTGGATAAACATCCAATGCTATACGGGTGCGGTATGCCCCGACCTTCCAACCAGACCTCCGCCACTGTTACACACCAATATCCATAGTCCCAATTTAAGTACCTAATAACACCCAGGATACTGACACATTTTTGTTGAAGAAACTGTCTTCAATACGCACACACAGTTCTCCAGGTATAGAAGACATTTACGCGAGGGTTCTGTATGTAACTGCAACGGCGCTGGCCGAACCACTATCTCAACACTCCCAAGGGTGCTTGAATAAAAAATTGCACCTACCGTGCAGCAGTATGGAGCGATCGCGCCAATCTTAAAATTGGTAGTCGTTCAACACCCGCAAACTATCACCCAGTGGTCCTCCTCGCTTTACTATCCAAAGTGATACTTTAGTGCTTTGTAGAACGGTACGACATCAAAACACCGGCGTACCACGGTTTCCGCAAACGCGGCTCAAGGATAACCAACCGGCTGATTGTATGTGGTAGTTGAATGAAAGCGGCCGAGAAAGTAATGGGACAGATGTCATTTACCACAAATTCTTCAAAATTTTCGACCGCCTAGACCGTCGCATTCTACTTCATCGATTTGAATGCTAGTTGTTTGGGCACGATGTTCTTTAGTGGATCAAGAATTTCTTGCAACATTGGTAAATGAATGTAAGAGTTGGAATTGTGCTGTCCGATCGGATTCTAATCATATATGGAGATCTACAAGGATCAACTCTGAGTCACGTCTGTTTCTCGTGTTGACTGACGAGCTTATGCGTCTGATTGCCTCGGATTTCTTATTGTTTGCTGATCATGTTAATATTTAGTGGACGATTGCCGACCAAGGATATCACGATGCACTTCAAGCAGACGTAGACAGGGCGTATGAATGGTCATTTCAGAATCTGCTCCAGTGTAATTTGTCTAACTGGAAGGTAGTCTACATTTCTTATTAGTTAAACATTAAATACAAGACATGGAGACCATGTCTTGCAAGCAATCACCCACAAGCGTGACATCATGACATTTATCCAAGCTGAGTTGGGCTGCCCAGGTCAAACAAAGAAAGCGTCAAAAATGGGTACCAATACCTTAGTATGCTGAGGATGTTATTCGGGCAGTTTGATTATTCTGCTTGTCCACAATTGCACAACACATACGTGCGGCCTCATGCGGAATACGCTATCCAGGCCTAGCAGCACTGGCACAAACAATCTCTCGCAGTGCTCGGGACTCCACAGTGAACAGCCACCAAGCACATCCAAGTGTTGTTGCACCTACCAAATAAACTTGGGCTGAGGACTATAAGATTGTACAGTGTTCAGTATCGGTGCAACATGCTTGGCGGCATCCGATTTCGGATTTGCCTGTAACTGTGGACAGCCACAGGACGCCTGCGCCTACAGAGGGACCACGGGTAGCTTGCGCTGCACCACGCACAGCTCCAACCACACACCCATATCCAGTGTAAACCCGAAGGAATAAGACCTGGAGGCAAGCGTATGGGAGCCACGTTTCGTCAACGGAGCCGGCCCACACTCCTTCACAGGCAAACACAAGCATGCTGCATTTGGGAATCAAGCGAACACAAGGTGGTGCCTGGGCCGTAGTCCGTTCCACACTGATTCCATGGAACCACTCTTGGAGTCTAGCTGGGCCACAAGAACCGTGCACCCCGTCCTCTCCGGCAACAACCAGCCTGCTCCTGGAGCCAGTATGAACGAGGTAGTGGGCGATAGACAGGTAGGCACCTTGTCAACATGCACATCAAGCGCAGACACACTGGGGATATCAAGTGACAACCAAGCACTTGAATCGACGATATCAAATAAAATAACACGAATAATACATACCAATATGGTCACATAACTCTTCACTAAATGAGCATAGAAAATAAATTGGATACGAGCAACTCCGCGCTAAGTTCAAGAAGCCAGAAAATTTGTCTTAAAAAGTGCTACAATCGCAACAATGATATGCAGTACACTGCATACATTCTACTTCGGCGCAATACATCCGTGTCTGCAATTCTGTCGCACCAACCAATGCGCAGAATCCATCGCAGAGACTTGGTGAAACCGCTCGAGATATCGCACATCCCGTCGGTAATCGTCCCCTTTTAGCAGTCGTATAGAAGAACCGACATCACCATGCATATGTACACCGTCGGCTTCGTGCCAACGGTAAGCCGGTAGTTGTTCCACACTCGGTACTCTAGCTTCCCATATGCCACGGCTGCCTTCGATATGTGGATACCCAGCTCACTGTGAAGCTGCTGGTCAGTGGACACCACACTCCAAAAGCTAGCGGAAGCGGAGGTGGTTTCCAACACTTCATCACCAATAGTGATTCGCGGCACATTGCAGATTGCATCTCAGGTGAAGGCTGAATGAGACAGACTGTTTCGCTTTTGTTGATGGTGCGCCCGAATTTGGTCGCTGTGGAAGCCAGAGCACCAGTCATGTGCCGTAACTCATCCGCGCTGTGCGCAAACAATGCACAGTCGTCAGCATACAGCAACCTAGAGATAGTTGTCTCACAGATTAGGGTTCTTGCACCGAAACGACGGATGTTCAACAACCCACCATCAATATGGTGCTTCACACGAACACTGTAAGAACAAGCCGCCTCAAACGCACAAGATATCATGGCATGAAGATAAATATTAAAGGCGGCAGTAACTAAGACACTGCCTTGCTTCACACTAGAGACAATTGCAAACACATCCAAGGTCTGTCTACTCAGCTGCACCCTCGCCCGCATGCCATTATGCAGACATTCAACTAAACATACAAACTTAGGCGGACAACCAAACTTACCCAACACCAGCCACAATGCCTCCCGGTTAACCGTATCCAAGGCCTTGGTGAAATCAACCAAAAGCGAGTACAACAGCTGATGTCGTTCTCTGCAGTTCTCTTGCAACTGCCGATCCCCAACATATATATATATATACATATATATATATATATATATATATATATATATATCGTGCTGCGACCCGAACGGAGTCCACAGTGCTTTTCCGCCACCTTCGGTTCCACAATCTGACTGAGTAGGCGGTTGAGCAAAATTCCGGCAATCATTTTGCCCACACAACTCATCAAGTTTATGCCACGATAATTCGTGCAATATTGCTTGCTGCTTTTGCCTTTGTACAGTGGTAGCACAAGGGCATCCTTCATCTCAGGAGGCACCTCCTCCTCGCTCTATACACGTTGTACCAAGTGGTGCAACGCAGTCAACAACGCAGGTTCGCCGTGTTTCAACACTTCACGCAGGAACCCGTCGGCACCGGCACACTTGCCATTTCACAGCTGAGCAAGTGCTCTTTGCTTCGCATCCAGTGTCGGTGTGTCCGCCACGAATAATGGCCTACATAATTCTGAGGGTCCCCAACCACGTCTGTCGCCACCTACTACAACATTAGCAACACAAATTTGAAGGGGCACCATTTCAAGTTAGTCACGCAATACAGTCGGCTAGAATGTCGCTGAAGCGTTTATTCTCTTCGTGCCTGCCAGTCGTAGAAAGCCTTCCCAAATGAACAACAACCTTATTAGCTTTTCATTTAGACATCATTTTTTGCATGTTTTGTGATTGATAGGAATGCACGAAATGACTACTTCATCGCATAATCTACGTCTGATTTTTGTTTTTGGAATTATAAAGGGGTTCCCTTGTTTTAAAAGGTGTGTCACCGGGATTAAACCATTGGTACTTTCTTTCACTTATTCTTCATGCAATTTATTTAAGCATCCACTCTCGCTTCGTTTCAGGAACTAGCGCTCATCTACGGCGGTAAGCGGAGCGCCACCGTGGTTTGTAACAGTACTGTGGAGTTGTTGGCCATGTCGCGCTCGGACTTCACAAATATATTTATGAGTGCGTCTCTTGATCAAGGTGCAGAGCATGTGGAATTTCTTCGCGCCCACCCACTAATGCCAGTCGCGGTGCTAAAGGTTATAGATGGGGCGAATGAGAAAATTCTTCTGTTCTCCTACTTTCGGTAAGCAAAAGGGGGCAGGTGATTTTTAAGTTAGTAACACAGTGAATGCTGATTGGCGAAATTACCTAACCTGTATCAGTGTCGAGCACAGCTGGGTTATCTCGCATACCCTACTACTACTAGTATAGTACTACTACTGCTTACTACTACTACTGCCACGTCTTTTGACAATATTCCTTGCATAACGCTGAATTCCGCAAATGGTTACCTACTTAATTACACGCAACACGTGGATTTAGTGGGTTTGCAACTCATACCGGGGGGGGAGACATAGAGACTGGGGGCTGCCATATTCAGCCTCGCACTAGGAAGCTGCGTGCAACTAATATCACGACGATTAATAATCCATCGTAGGGTCATTTGATGCACCCTTTGTGGACTGAGACAGTCAACCGCAATGTGGGTCGCGGCTTACTTTGAAGTTACTTTCGGCTAGTTTGGTCACTGGAACCTTGCTTCAAAGAAACTCATTCTCACCATTCTCCACGTAAGCTAGGGTCGAAAAACAGCCTAGCTATTGTGCTGCCATACAATTTGTTTAGGTGGTATTTCAAAGAAAGAAGATAAAAACGCAAAACGAAATAAAATTAGTACTACACTCTGTCTGTCATTATCATCCACAAGTGTACCCAAGCAAGTGCGTTCATCCTCCAGACGCTGCAACCAAGGCAGACTTCAAAGTGTGGACCTTCACTCTTCTTGACCTAAGTCAAGGATTGGTCTCCTCACCATTTCTTCCATCCAAACATGGGGCACGTAGTCAACGCATGTGGCACAAGGCGTGCTGGCATGTGTAGCACATGATGCAAACATCGGAGACTGGTCTGTAAAGTAGTGCTGCTGAGCGGCTTCTTTCAAATTCCTGCACCATAAACAAGACATAGGCTCACTGCGTACACGATGCTCCAGCCGGGTGTGAGTTAATCTGCGTAGGCACCCACTGTGTTCTGCAATGTGAATTCGTTGATTACTGCTCGGTGTCCCAGCGGTAACTACGACAGCCGGCAAATTCTACGCTCTGCATCTGGTTTACAATTGGGTTACATACACCATACTCATGCTCAACGCTTAACTTATGCCCACTTTGAAATACTCCATCCACAACTGGCAGTCTTGGCGCAAGAATGACCTCACAGCGCTTGGAAATCCACAACTAAGAGCGACCAAGTACATAAAGGGTCTGTTTCATCTACCTCACCAACTGTGGCCAAAATCTCTTGGGGTATACATTGGGCAAGTTCGAAGAATGCATAGTAATTTGATAATAACATATTTGCTCCGCAGGAATCCAAACTCTACTTTTCGTCGCCTTCTGTAGCAAAGTCACACCACTACTAGGAGAGGTCACCAGCTAAATCTGGCCACACCGTATATCAGGGTAGGATGTTGCCCGAATTGCTTTTCATTTCGTGTGTGGGCAACTTGGCACGCCCTCGGCAGTTACGTTCTTTCTTCACCCACACTAACGGTATTCAAATGACCCCTCGATGAAGCACTCATGCATGCACATGACCCTAGGTAACACTATATATACGCGGGCGCCAACATAACACAACCAAGCAACGTGTTCATTTTCGCTTCCTGCACTTCATTAGTTAAACGCTGCTAGAGTGGGATTTCGTTAGGATGTACCCAAACTGAATTTACCTACCAGGTCGGTAAGAGGATGTAATATACGTGTGAGCGTTGTCACTTCCATCAGTTATTTTTCTCACGGATTACGTGAAGTATAAATGCTCCGCATATTACTTTGTGTGTACCAATTCGATTCCCATTTCAAACTATCGTTATGCGACAGCGCGGTTAAAGCAATAGTTGTCCAACCTGACGATTCATCTATTCCTTGATTTTTTTAATTTTCACTCTAACCACCCCACGGGACTTGTCAGGCCCCTGCTTTTTACCCGTGATAAATCAGTGTTCGTATTACTGGTGAGTAGCATATGGCATGCGCTACTTGCAACACCTTATTCATGAAAGAACTTTATTTCTTAACGTCATGCGCTCCTCGAGTTCAGCAGCTAGCATTTTTCCTTCAACACATCAATACCACATATGTATTTTCCGATAAATTGCGGCTCATATCTTAATAGATCACAAGTCTCTCTTGTAATCCGAGAGCGTGTCTTCGAGCCTGCTAGGGGATCAGGCGACCCACCATGTATCCTTAGCCCAGGCGCGACTGTTGGTGGTTTCGCAACAGCGAAGCGGCAATATTGCGTATCCGCGTACTGCTGATTCCCAGTTAAATGTGAGATCTACTCTCTGCTAATTGGAATTGATGATCAGGAAAATCTGCGATACTAGTATATCAAATTGTTTCTTATACATATTAGATACTTGGTGTAATTGAGGGTCGGGTCGTCGCAATCAGCTCCCAAGCAACCAGCTTCGGCAGCATTCGGAAAAGCCCTAGACGACCGGTTAGTTCCATTGGTACTCGTCAGCAGAGCGCATCACACGGATACTGCAGTTTATGCTACTAAGCCATGAGCGACTGTGACAAACAGCTATGTCTAAAACAGTCAGCCCTTGGCACAACTGCTCACTGGTGTGTTTATCAGCCTATATGGTTAGCTAGTCCCCTGCACTGCTTACTGATAGCTGCAGAGGGAAGACACTACGTGTTTCCGTGTAAATCCGCCTACCGAATTCACCGGTCGGTCTGAGTACTGACTTAATGTTCCACAAAGGCAGATAACATGAACATCGGTCAAACTCGGCACGGTCAATGAAAGGTTAGAAGCGTAATGTTGCTTGCCTGAACAATTCCAAGGATAGAAATAGATGGAGCGCATTATCTATTCCCTTAAACATTGGTTGCAGCCGATAGCAACCCTTTCGATCAAAGATGTGGTGAACTGTTTTTTTAATTTGTGCAATCAGCACGAGAGTAATCGAAGCCTGAATAGTTGGCAGGGCACGGGTATGCTGAAGCGAAAAGTTGGCTCTGGTTTATTCAGAGGTGAGCTGTCATGGATAATGAATAAGTCAAACAATCACGCACGAAGGAAGCTGGGTTATACCTCTCCTCTTTGCGATCAACTGACGTATAACTGGGGTGCCCTAGAGACTACCGCGACGAAATTTAAATATACACGAGCATCTTGAAATATAGTTCTTTTTAACAAGCTGCAAAGTACCCCAATGATCAGATTGTACGATGGTTAACCCGACCAGATCTTCGCAACCATTTTCGCTATCGTTACCAACTCATTAGTGGTAACGGCCTACAAATACGAGGTGACATCTTTTCATAACCTACGTAAAAGAGTCCTGTACGGCATTAATCAATGAAGCTGGGTTGGAAAGATGCGGTAGTTTGCTTGTTGTGACAGTCTGTGGAGAAAACTATTTGTGAACTTTGGAAATTCGCTTCTTTTCTCTCACAGATTTTGAACGCCTCTCTCTATTGTAGACGCGATGCAGTCATCTGTGCAGACAGTAACGAGAGTGACTGGATCTACTTCATCAAATCTGGTCGGTGTCGCATAATGAAAAATGTTCAGCTTCCGAGTAAGAGGAGAAAGGTACAGTCCTCCACACGTTCCAGCTACCAGAATCGTGACTCCGTCTTGGTAAGTTACGCCGACCTCTCGACCACGTAATTCCCCGTTTTAGCCCCCTCAAAAAGCATCAAATAGATCTCAAACAAAGCAGCAATTACGCACCTATTTTATCACACTGAAAGTACTGGAACGGAATGCTGTATTTGTAAGTCAAGAACAGTTATTTCAGCTACACGTTGTAGGGGTTAGAGCCCATCGTATTCGCTGCATTCGGTGGGACTACATCAGTCAGCCTAGTATCCGATGGAGCAGAATGCATCGCGATCAGCAAGAAATTTTTTGTCGAAAACTGCCCGGTTCACTACCTAAATTGGTTACGACAGCAAGTAAGTACGGTCACCATCACGTAAAACCTGTTTACAATATTCGGTATGAAAACTAAATCAACGGTGTGATCAATCAGACTGTCACATTAGGAAGCACGTGAGCAAGGCAGATCATGTGTCAACTTTGAAGGTCGAGGTGTGAATTCAATCCTCTGTTCCCCAGTGTTCGGTGGAGCAAAGTATAAATCAACTATAATATATTCCTTAAGCAGATGGATTATTTGTTCAACAATTTTACTTTCTCCGTGGTGGATATCTTTTCCAGTTAGCTGGGATTTGCACAGTAAAACATTGGTACACACTGAGTAAAAATGCTAATGCTTAATACGTTCCTTAAGGTAGTTAAGATGAAGATGGTAAAAGTAGAAAAAAGTGTCAGTGAGTTTAGTAACACGTGGTTAAACTCAGCTAGAGTTTCGCACGACAGCTAAAAGTATACACCTACCTGGATTGTGTTTTGCAATACACTGTTTGATTGCTTTATGTACTCTAGCAGCGAACACAAGCAGTGGCGAAATGTAAATAACACAATGCTTCGTCAAGTCGTTCTTTAAATATCGTCAAATTGAGCGCGTATAAAGTGTACGCGAGAAGAGCGCTCCCCAGCTAGCACACTCGGATGAAGACGTAACTTCGATAGTATACCAGCGGGCTGTACCTAATAGCCAAAGTTAGATCATGACCTCTCTCGTTGATGGCAAGACTGAGTTCCAGGTATGTGAACACAGTTCGATTACTACCTAGTTAAGGAACAGGCAAGCAGCTGTCTGGCATCAATTATTGCTTGAAGTGTTTGTAGACTGATTCTACCAGTGAAGTAGAAAAGAAAGTAAAGAGCAGCGGAGGAAGTTTGATGTACTTTTATCAGTGATTCCTAGCATCCAGATCCCACATATCAAGAAAGAGGAACCGGCGATCATTTCGTCCCGTTGGACCTTGACAACAACGCTCACTATGAATACTTTAGGAGCCGAACACACCACTGGTGTGCTTGGATGTCAGCAACTCACGGCGAGGCCATTGGAGCCGCAAATGAATTGTCATGACCACTTAATGGCTGCGATATGGGGCGGCCCAACCTTTAATAACATGCGTATCAAAATAAAATCTTAGCAACAATAGATACTCTTCACTGCGCTATTTTCCAGGGAAAACTGTAGCCTGTACGTTCGTGTGGACACCTTGTTAAGCTCTGGTTTGAGGTACATTTAGAAGCACCCGTGGTGTGAATGGATTGCGACGCCTGCTCTGTCAAGCTGCTGAGATCCAATATGTACGAAACCGGTTTTTTGGGCGGGTAACACCCAATGTCATCCGTATGATTACCGCTAACCTATTTGCTGGTTGTCGTTTCGCTTTTCACACAAAGCTATGCAGGCTTCCGAAGCAAACGATAATGTGCGGATGGGCCAGAAACAGAAGAAAGCTGCCAAAGGAGCTGACTCAGTTCTTCCATTTTCGCGACGCACTCATCACCCAAGACGGATTAACATTCACAGACAACAGAATATTAGTTCCGAATTCACTACAACCTTCGATGCTGTGCACATTTGGGAATTAACAATTGTGTGGCAAAGGCAAGTGGGATGCTGTTCTGATCAGGAACGACCAGCCAATACATGATCAGCTGTCAAACTGGATAAGATACGAGGCACATGATGTACGCTAGCCGTATAACTGATCACGCTTCGTAACTTTCCTGACAGGCCCTTTCATATGGTCGCTTTGAAAAGTTCTGTTCACGACGGACAGACTTATTTGATTGTGGCCGACTACTTCAGTGACTACTTCGAGATTGGTGTTCTTATGGTGACCGGCAAGTAAGCCGTGGTGATTAGGTTATGGTTTCCATTCGATCGTCATGGAATACCTGGGGTGGTGGTTTTCGGCAACGAACTACAGTTTAGTAGAGCAGAGTACCGTGCTTTTAGAAAGAAATGGGACTTTTAGCAAAGGCACACTAGCTCATATCGCAGCCAGTAAAAAGGAAATGCTGAATCGGCAGTTAAAAAGAACCAATAATGTACTAACCAAAACCAAGAAGACCTAGAAATATCCTTATCTAATTTTGCTGGAGTGGTGAAACACACCAGCTACCGAAATCGGAGCAAGTCCGGTGCAACGACTCTTCAGTTGCAGAATAAGAACACTGCTAACGACTGCTACGGTTCTACTACTACCCGAAACAGCACCGGCGGCTTCTGTGCACCACCGATTACGGAACAGAATACTTAGGCAAAAGAAGTGCTATGATCATGGATCGAAAACCTCCCACCTCTAGCTATAGGAGAGGAAGTATGGGTGCAACCAATACCAGAATCGGAAGAACGCTGGCTCAAGGGAATGGTTTGAAGG